TATAAGGCCATTTCAAACCAATGCCATTTCCATCCAAATTTTATGAAAACTGCTGTTTCTCTGCCAAGATTTTTCCAGAACCCTCCATTCCATTTCTCTTGTTTTCTTCGGTGTTTCGCGAGGTCCTCTCCTGTTAAGTTTCAGATTTTGCCATCTTTCAAGCCTCCGGTAAGTCTCCTCATTGCAATCGCGTTTCTTTGTAGTTCTTTCTCTGTGTATTCTCGATTTTCCTTGTTTGGTTCCTGTTGGATTATTGCATGATTTGGGCTTGAAATAGACACTTAGGAAGTTAAAAACTTCATGTATATCTGGACTCTTATAGGCTAGTTTTCTCGGTTACTGGCCGACTGTAGAGAGTTTTAGGTTCTGGGTTTGGGGTGTTTGGCTGGGAAATCTGGGTTTAGCTTGAACGTTCGTCGTTCTTTTTCTATGAAGATTGACGGCTTGATGAGCCGTCGGCACTCGCATGCCTTTGGTAGCCACTGGCGGTCTTAAACGATTGTCGTCTTCTTGTTTCCCCTTACCTTCTCGACTTAAGATTTTAACTTAGCTCCTCATTATCCTTTCTTTTTTGTTATACCGGAACAATGGCTCCCAAACTATTTAGTCATCGAGAGGGTCCTTCATCCACTGCGAGGCCGGACTCTCCTTCCGCCGCCGAACCTTCATAGACGTCTTCCTCATCGGGCGACGACTTCATCTTGAGGGAGGTTGACGACTATGCAGCCGATCTAAGGGATGATGCTAACAGCGTCGACCGTATGGTCGAAGGAGATGATAGCGGTGAGGTTCCTTTGGAAGGGGGAACACTGCATGGGGTCGTTGCCTCCCTTGTTGACACTCCTTTGGCGGTCATGAACGGGGATCTAGACAGGCCTTCGTTTACCGTCGACGTGACATTGTCGAGGACACGGAACCGAGACATCGTCCGGGCGTTCAGAGACGGGCGCATAGACGGGAGATGGTTTGAATATCCTTCCCCTTCTTGGATATATCTTTCAGTATATACTCGGGCCTTTACCGCAGGGATGACATTACTAGTCCATCCTTTTGTGAAGGATTTTTGCCATTACCATGCCATCTCCCCTGCCTAGCTAGCGCCGAACTTCTGGTATTGTTTTGCCGATGCGTGAGTCTTGTGGAACCAGCAGTTTGATGTGGAGCTGCCCCTGGACGAGTTTATGTATATATACAAGTTAAGCCACGTCACGAAGTGCGAAGGGTGGTTCTTTTTGGGTAGTCACGGGCGATCGAAACCCGTTTTAGGAAAATTGATCTAGGGCATTCTTTCCTCCTCTCACGGCTGGAAGCCCATGTTTTTCATGGTCAGGGGACCCTTTAATTTTCACCCCGACGACTGTATGCCACAACGTCAAGGAGTGCAAACATCGTTTGGGAGATTAAGTGAGAACAATATGTATAGTAAAAAAATTTTCTCCTCCTCCCTCGTCCTTTTTTATAACGCTGACAATTACTTCAAATGTGCAGTCACTCACGACCGGCCGAAGCTAATTGGGAACAGGTGGGCGAGGATTTTTGCAGCCTTTGAAATTCTCGAGAACGAACGCCACATTAACGTTCTCCTAACCGAAGCCACCCTCAGGGAGTCAGGGCTGCCGATTTCCCTTCTTGATATGCAAATCTCTAAGCCGTCCATGAATTTTTTCACCTCAACGCAGAAGGTAAATCTTTTGGACTCGACTTCATACTTGCTATGATGCCAAGTCGACTCCTTTTTTCTCTTTTTTTTTTTTTTTTTGGCTAACTTTTGTTCGTGTACAAAAATGGCTTCTCTGAACCTCTAGTTCCCTTCTAGTGGTCGATCCAAGTTGGAAGGGAAGGCCAGCACTGGTACTTCCTCTTCGGCCCCAAAGAAGAAGCCTTCTGAGGAGGGTCTCTGGGTCCACGTTGGGGACATATGCGCCGAAGAGGGTGTGCCAGGAAGAGGTGTGGGTGACAGGGGGAACTTGGATGCCGGTGGTTCTCATCCCCGATGTGTCTGAGGTTCCTCCTCCATTCAAGGATCGCCTCTTTCTTCCAGCGGCGAAGGTAATAGACCCAAACTTTCAGGTCTAAGATGTCTCCGATGCCCAGGTTGAGGTGATGCTGGATCTTCCTCATCGCTTTTCCTTAGTCTTTCAGGCCCTTTATGAGTCATTTTTTGACAAGCATTGGGTTGCTGCCACTCGATCGTCAGCGCAAGCAATATCTTTCCAGATCCACGTAAGCACCGACCATTTATTTTCTATTTAATGTATGTTCGCCGTTCATTTTCTAACTTATGATTTTCTATTCTTAGAGTCCTGTCCTTGCCGTTCTCAACCTTATAGACTTGGTCAAGGTTGAGGAACGTGGCAACGAGATGGACCACATAGAGGCGAGCCTCACATCTCTCATTGACGCTAAAAAGTCTAAGTGCTCGACTCTCACTGAGGAGAAGGATGTGGCCGTGACAAAATTGGCGAGCCTCTAGGAGGAACAGGACCGATTAAAGGTTTAGGCCGAAGAGGCTACCAAACGCGTGGAGGGTGCCAAGAAGCAGGTGGTTGAGGCCAAAGAAAAGTAGCTCGTTAGGGGGAAGACCAAAGGTTACGAGATAAGCCGAGCTCGCGGCGGTTGAGAAATACCTGAACTTAGAAGATTTTGCCGCCAAGCGCAAAGAAATTGTCGACGAGTTCATGGCTTCTGAGGAGCTTACTGAAATCCTTAATAAGTTCTCTCCTCGAGCCATAGAGTATGTTTTCCTTGGTTATCCTCCTGGGTATAAAGGATATAAATTCCTTAATCTTGGCACCAACTCCATTTACATTTCTAGGGATATTGTCTTTCATGAAACAATTTTTCCCTTCAAAATAGGAAGTGTTTCAGATCCCTATATAGACTTTTTCTCTGACCGAGTGTTGCCTTGTGTCTATGATGTTGAGCCTTCTGTTCCCATGTCGGGTAATCCACCTGATTCTATTCCTTCCTCCTCCACACGTCCAACTCGCCATGTCAAACCACCTTCCTACCTTCGAGACTATCACTACTCTAGTGTCTCCCACACTTCATCATCCACAGCACATCCTCTCTCCCATGTGTTGAACTATGACAAGTTATCTCATGAACATAAAGCCTTTGTCCATGCTGTCTCCACACACTTCGAACCAACTAGTTTCTCACAGGCTGTTGCTATCCCGGAATGGAGAAAGGCAATGACTGCAGAACTTGAGGCTCTTGAGCAAAATGACACATGGTCTGTGACCACTCTTCCTCTTGAGAAACATCCCATTGGCTGCAAATGGGTGTACAAACTCAAGTACTGAGTTGATGGAACTTTAGAGCGTTATAAAGATCGTCTAGTCGCCAAAGGATACACACAACAAGAGGGTATTGACTACCTTGATACTTTTGCTCCTGTTGCTAAAATGGTAACTGTCAAGGTTCTTGCTTTAGCTGCAATTCATGGTTGGCATCTTACTCATGGTTGGCATCTTACTCAACTTGATGTAAATAATGCCTTCACGGTGATCTCCAAGAGGAAGTTTATATGTCCTTACCTCCTGATTATCACCTTGAGGTGGAGCCTCTACCACCTAATCTTGTTTGTCGGCTACATAAATCCCTCTATGGGCTTAAGCAAGCCTCTCGCCAATGATTTTCTAAATTCTCAAGTGCATTACTTGAGTAAGGTTTCAAACAAGCTGCTGCAGACAACTCCTTGTTTATTAAGAGGAATGGAGTCTTTTATTGCCTTGGTCTATGTAGATGACATTGTTATTGTTAGTAACAATGAGAAACTTGTGGAGGATTTCAAAGTCTTCCTTGACAGCCGATTCAAGCTCAAGGACTTGGGAAGATTGAAATATGTTCTGGGGTTAGAAGTGGCTAGATCAAATGCAAGTATGTCCTTAAGTCAAAGACATTGTGCCTTGCAGCTTCTTTCAGACACTGGCTATCTCGGGTGTAAAACGAGGAAAACACCTATGGACCCCTATGTCAAACTTTCCCAAGATGAAGGAGAGTTGCTTGATGATCCATCTCAATACAGAAGAATTATTGGGACGCTGTTATACCTCACAATAACCAGACTAGAGTTGTCATATTCTGTCAACAAGTTAAGTCAATTCCTTGCCAAACTTAGAGTTCCTTACTTGAAGGCTGTGCAGCGGGTTTCAATATGTTAAGGCAACAGTTGGGCAAGGTATCCTTTTTCCTTCTACCTCCTCAGTTCACTTTGAGAGGCTTTGCTGATTCAGATTGGGCTTCTTGTCCGGATAGTAGAAGGTCCATTAGTGGATTTTGCATTTTTCTTGGAGACTCATTGGTTTCTTGGAAATCTAAGAAGCAACATACTGTTGCTAGATCTACAGCTGAAGCAGAGTATAGATCGATGGCAACATGTGAGCTTATGTGGGTGCTTTCCTTACTCAAGGACTTTGAAGTTGATCATCCAAGACCTGCTGTTTTGTATTGTCACAATTAGGCTGCCCTCCATAGAGCAGTCAATCCTGTCTTTCACGAGAGAACCAAGCACATAGAGATTGATTGTCATCTTGTGTGAGAGAAGATTCTAAACGGAAGCCTGAAGACTCTGCATGTAGCTTCTCAGCATCAAATTGCAGATATGATGACAAAGCCACTTTTTCCAGCTCAGTTTGTTTTTCTTCTAGGCAAGATGGGAATTCAGAACATTCATTCTCCATTTTGAGGGGGAGTATTAAGAGTTTTGGGGGTTAAAATTGTAAATAATGTTTAATTAGTTTCTGATTTGTAAATAAGGCTAAGTAGGTTGCTGATATTTCATTTTTCCCTTTTGCTGAGCTGGAGGTTTGTTACAACAGACCCCTGCTTCCTTCTCCAGAATGTGTATAAGCCCCCTTTCTCTCTATTTTCTAATCAAGCTTTCAGACTGCTTCATTTAAAAAATTCTTCTCCTCTGTTTTCGTTCTTTTTGTAATAAACTCGATATCATTTGAAAGTTCATATACTGATTTCCACTTTTTACCATTTTGATACAGCTTTTTTAGTTGGTTTACTGATACTCATCAGAAAGATGAGATGGATGAAATCCACGACGAGGTTAGTACTATTTATTGCAACCAAATTTAAAGTAATGTGGTATTTCAGATTATTTTCTTTGTTTCTAGTGTTGAAACTATCACCCACTTTTGCTGTTTTTCAGATTGCAGATATCATAAAAGAAGATTTATGGCCGAATCCTCTCACGTACTTCAACAATGTAATTCCCTTTACATGCTTCTTTCTGCCTGAAATTGTGGAATTTGATTGATGGCAAGTCTTTGTGCTTTCATAATGTTCTAACGGTGTTTTCTGACTTAGGATCCCGATGAGGAGGACTTTGATGAAGAAGCTAATGAAGAGGTAAATGAAGATTTTCTAATTAGCACCATGTCGTAAATAGCCTGAAATTCATATATGGGTTTGCTTTCCAACTAAAAATCTTCATAATGAACAATTACTCTTTAAGAATGAATCTTATTATCTCCATGGAAGTTTTAACTTTTTCGAAAATTATATTACTTGCAGGGAAAGGAAGATGATGACTCCGAAGAGGATACCGACGACCAAGAAGACGACGACGACGAAGAAGGTGATGAGGAAGATGGCAAGTGAAGTTGGTCATCTGAGTGTTTGATCTTTTGTCTCGTTCTTTTGCTGCTTTGGTAACAGCTTTATGTAAAGTGGTACTATCGTAGTGGTTGCCGAAGTATCACCGGGTTATATTAGGGGAGGATGACCGTCTTTTTAACTCTTGTGTAGGCAAACCTGACTGCTTACAGGGTCAGTAGTTTCTGGATTTGCTCGTTCCTTTTCTTTTTTCTTTTCTTTACTTTTTTTTTTCCTTAATTTTTTTGCCCTTCTTGTTTCTTAAACTCTTGAGTTATTTTTTTGGTATCCTCCTTATGTGGAAATTTATAGATTATAAAATTGGCGTCTCGTTTCTTTATAATTATCCCCCTCCATAAGAAAAAGGATAATTGATCAACCCCGATATATGTGTTTTGTATGAAAGATTGTGATTGACAATTGGAGCTGAAGGTTGAGGTGGGGTTTCATTTTTATACTTGAGGAGGTGGGGTTTCATTTTCATACTTGTGGCGGTATTAATTTATTTGTTTGTTTTCTTTTTGGCTAGGAAACAAATTCTTTTGTGATGGGAGACAAAAGGAAAAAAAAAAAGAAAAGATAATTTATGTTACAATGAGTTTTTAATAGTTTTATTTTAATGGTGATTACTAATAAATATAAAAATTTAATGATATAATACTATAAGGATTTAATTTCACCAATTGTCAGATAGTTTTTTGTCAACTATCAAATTTTATTACAATTCTCGGATCTATATCTTATGGTGCCAAGTGATGAGTAGATATTGAAGTATCCTGCAACTTTGGAACACATGGGAGGTTCAAACCCACAAAACCTCACACATGGTTCAATCCTAAAATTTCAAACCACCTAGATCTGAACCCTCTTATGAAACAAGCTCTTAAACAACACCCTTTAATTTATTACTTGTTATAATTTATGAAAGAATCAACGCAAAATTAGTTGAAATATTACGTATTTCTTTAATATAAAAAAATGTACTTGTTTAAAAAATTGTTGGGATCCCAAATTAGTCCATGAGCACTCTTATTTATCTTGATGGGATTAAAATTTTATTACTGATATAAGATGAGTCCAGCTAATTTAATGGGACTTATTATTTTATGAGTACGGAGTTTTTCGTCGAGATAAATATTATATTTCTTAGCCAATGTGTGCTAGAACAGGAAGATGCGCAACTGGCGTTGACACATCTGGGGAGCATATATATGTTGAAGAAAATGACAAGATTTTGACGTCCAGCCATTTATCGTGCAACCTTACGAGCGGCAAAGTTTACTAGTACGTCATCTATTCATCCATCCTTATCTAATACTTCAAACGGAAAATACAATAATGTTCGTGCAAACATCATCATCAGTTCACTAATCAGATTCCTATTTTATAAAAGACATCAAATGGGCAAATAATAAACAGGATTAATAAGAAGCTCTTGAAATGGCCAACTCAAACATTCCCACAATTGATCTCTCTCCTTTCTTAAGAGAAAGTGGTGATGAGGATGGACAGAAAAAGGCCAAGGAAATCATCAGCCATTCTTGCTCTTAGTATGGTTTCTTTCAAATTGTAAATCATGGAATTCCCTTGAGTTTGATGAGTAAAGCTCTTGACCTTTCCAAGGCCTTTTTTTGGCAGCCCAAATGAAGAAAAACTCAAGTCTAGTCCTGGGTCCGCTGCACCTCTTCCGAGAGATGTCAAAAGGGCCGTGCCGGGCTAGCACGACCCTTCTAACCTCAGGCCTGTGGCGGGTTTGGGTTGTGCCTGGCACGGCCCTACCCAGTGCAGGGCCGTGCCAGGATCGGGCATTAGGAGAAACCCTCAGGCCCAGCACTGGCCCTCGGTCCTAGTCCATAAGGGTTAGGGCCGGACCTGGGCCTAGACCCTTCACGGGCCAGCCGTAGCCCTTTTAATTTTTTTTGAAATATTTAATTAAGAAAAAGAAAATATATCATATGCTCCTAAAAGATGTGATTTTATTGAATTGAGATAATACGAATAAGTACACATAAATGACCGCCTCGTTAAAAACTTTACCAAGTAAAACTCATGGGGAGATCGGGACAAAACCTTAGCGAAGGAAAAAAGAGTGCAGTATTCTAGGATAAGTAAATTACAAAACCTAAGTGCTTCCAGAAGATTTTGTTATGTCTAAACTCAATCTTAACCTAATTTTCTTAATGCACTTGAGTTTCACTTATGATTAACAATTTTTTTAGGATTTTTTTTTTATAATTTCAAATTTGATGACAAAAAAAAGGTAATATATCATATGCTCCAAGAAAGTGCGATTTTATTGAAATAATATGAATAATTACAAGAAAATGATTGGTTAACCGGATGGCATAGGTCGGCCAATTGGCCCTAAAATGTCTCAAATCTCATTAAAATTTCATGTCGCGGTCTTGGCCCTTCGCGTGCCTGGGCCATGCCTGGCTCTTTGCATGCTTGGGCCTTGGCGGGCCTGCCGCAAGCTTCAAATATGAGGCCTAGCCCATTACCTTCTGGCGTGCGGGGCCGACCAAGCCCATAATAGTACAGGGTCGGGCCGTGCCGAATTAATACTGTAGCGAGCTGGGCCGGGCCGTCCATGGATGGCCCGGCCTAATTGACACCTCTACCTCTCCCTGCTGGTTTTAACAAACAACCCCAACACTCACAAGATAAGAATGAGTACTTGTTAATGTTCCCTCCATGCTCTGATTTCAATGTGTACCCCCACAATCCACTGGAATTCAGGTGCGTTTCCTCTGCGATAGAAAACTTTAGACTTTGCTTGTTCGAATTGAGAACTTAAATTAAAAAGTGAATTTATGTGAAAGAAAACATCGTAACAGAAAAAGGTTAAATCTGAAGTTTTATGAGAAAAAAATACTGTAGCAAAAATATGAGTTGTGATTCAAATTAATAAAATGAACATGGCATAAGTGTATCCCAACAAGGTGAAAAGAAAAGGATTAATTTTATTTTTAACCATCGAAATATAATCAAATCTCATTTTAATCTATGATTTTTAAAACGTTACTACTACGTTGCCTCCAATTAGTTCTTTGTCTATTCACGATTAAAATCTCTATGAAGAAATGCACGGTTTCCTTCTTAGTACTCTTGTCCTAAGTAGAAAAATACAAAAATTAACCTTTTCTTAACTGCACATGGTCATGTGTACCTTTTGCCATCAAGATTTTAAGAGTCAAATAGACAAGAGAATTAATTTAGAATAATTTCATAGACCCGCAATTCATTTTGAAACATTTTAAAAATTAAAAACTAAAATGAGATTTAACCTATAGATCGAGGACTAAAAATCATACTAACCAAAAAAAAAAAAAGACGCTTCATTTTACTCATGGTGAATGTTTCTGTATAATCATATATGAACACAATTTTGAGTTCTAGTAGATTTTGCTATAACCCGATGTTTGAGAACATTCATCATCTACAAACATTCTAAGTTTTTGTAGCTGATAATACCTGCAAGTGGGGCTATTCTGAAGTGAGAACAATGGGATTTCTTGGTGGCCCTTCGTTACTTTTCGGCCACAAAAAGTGAGAACAATGGGATTGCAGAACATGAGGATGGGAATTGCATTAGCTTTGTTATCCAAGATGATGTTTGGAGGTTTAGAAGTTCGCAAGAACGAGGAATGGATTCCCGTTACTCCCTCTCAAGGCAACATAGTGGTCAATGTAGGAGATGTTATTCAAGTAACTTAGCGTGCCTTTATTCTTCAGCACTCGGCGCATATTAAATCTCATTATTTCGATCGTTATCTATCATACTTATATTCTTTTATATTCAATTAGCGTGTAAATTAAAAAAATTATTGTCATTTAATAGGATCCACTTATGGGTCAGGATGTTATCTCATCCTAAAGGTTCTTGTGGTCGATCTATCCATGAATTTTTTGTGCTCTTCTTATGATTTTTATTATATATATATATAAACAAACTGATAGAATTTCATCCTTTAAATCGTTACTTAACATACTGACTTTCTTTAGTACCCTTAACTCATCCATAACAATTTTTTCTGTTTTACATTGTTACTTTGCGTAACTATGTTCTCCAATAATCTCTAATCTACTGCTAATACTTTCCAAAACATGCATGAGAAACCCTAATCTTCCCCTAACAACCTTCTTAAACTCAGTCTCCCACTAATGACCTTGTCAATTTACCAAACTGCCCCTGTTCTTAATTCTTAAACCTACGCCTATAATACGTTTTCAGCCCCTCCCTTCCAAGTCTAACAGTTCTTTAGTACCCAACTCGTTTCATTTTTTCTGTCAAGTGTAACTTAGACTATAACGATCTAAATTCCATGTTGATATCATATAAATATGGTTTATGAACCTAATTATAGTGTTTTTAATTAGTACATTTTATAAGGTCTAGTAGTAATTCCCCAAGTGCTCCTAAATTGCCCTTCCCAATTCTGAATAGGAGTAGAAGTACAGCTTTCTCACTTGATAGAGATTATTAATTAAAGAAGTTGCTCGCAATTTGAGGTCATAAGTATGATCACATTTAGTCGATATTGACATGTTGAATGGTTGTGAGCATCGGGGCCAATAGATAGAATCCTTTTTATTATTATTAATGGTGGTGAGCACCCCTGAGCACTTGTCAACATCGACTAATCAACTTATCAAGAAGCATTTTTGAGTCTATAAGATGGCCTTTTTTATGTGGCTGTATTGGAATGAAAGTGTCAATAAGATTTTAGTACAGACAGTGTACATGGCAAAGGGTAGTTTCCAATCATACACATGCACATGAGAAATGTAGTTATGCAAAATGGAAGAGCATAGGGCTCTTGTTAAACGGTCCAGGTATTCTTGGGCCTTATGTTGTAATCTTGTGTTCTTCACCAACTCAGCCGAAGCCCAATTCTAGGATCCAATTAAGCAAGATTGTAATTGTGTCTATATGCCTAAAGTGGTGTTAAGAAATGTAAAATCAGAAATAGAAACTACTAAGTTCCGGAATCTGGTTTCCCAAAATAATGTAGAACTTGTAGTGGTGTCTGTATAAAAAGAGCAATACCAGAAAGAACTATTGTCCAACACTACAGAAAACGAATCTCATAATATGTGACTCGTAAATAAGACTCATTTTCTATTGATTGTGGTGTTCAATATTGATGTTGTTCTCAATTATTTTTGGTATAAGAATAGAGACAACAGCGATAATCCTATGCTTATCCTAGCTCTTCTATGTAAATTTCATTATATTCTGTTTAATTAGGCCAATTAAGAGATACATATTTCAAGGCGAAGGGCCTGGCCACATCCTATGAAGAGCCCTAGGCTAAATGTTCATCTCTTGTCGGTTTATCTCACTATCTTTGTTCTTAAACCGCTTATCAAACACTAGCATTGTCAAGCAATTCAACACCACATATCTTTGATAAATATTTTGTCACTAGACTTTGAAAATGGACTCAATCTCAACCCTAACTTCATTTTCTCTAACGAGTGTGTAAGGGATGTGCTTTACAAATTTTTCTAATGGATCAGGAGCACCTTTGGAAACCTAATTAAGGGAGATTACTAATAATTGTTGGTCATTGTTTTTGTAGGTGGTGAACATCTAGAACTGTTAAAAAAAATGTATTGTAAGGGAGATCAATGATCACCGATATATAAGCCTAGAAGGATTGGTAGCTTGCTAAAGATTGAGAACGTGCAAAATAAACTATTAGCACTTTGATGTTCAAATCAGTAGTGGAACTTAAAAATAGAAACTGAACTAATAGAACGTACCAAAAGCAAATGAGTTGAGAGATGGAGGAAATATGAGAATTACAACAACATGATTAGACCATGAGCTTATGATAACGTTAAATTTTTCTTGAAAATTATTGTATTGAATTGTCAGTTATTCATGTTGATGTGAAGCTTCTCTATGTTTGGCCATAGGTGGAGCTTGAGCCTTAGCCAGTGGTGCAGTTTATGAACGATTGAGGAAGATTGAAATAACAAGTAGGGTGATTTAAAGCAAATGACCCCAACTTAGTTCATGAGCTTGGAGTTTAGGTTGGCAATATTTGTTTTCTGAATTTATATCCTAGCCTTCTAAAACTTTTTTAAACAAAAATTAACATTCTAAAATCTTCTACGATTATTTGCGCTTGTTTATCTCTTTAAGGTTTTCAGTAATATTGACCGTATGATCGACACGTGGAAAACATGTGAGCCCCCCCATATTGAAAATTTTGAAAATAAATAAATAAATAACCTTTTCACCATTTTCTTCTTTTCCCCTCACATGTCAGGTTACTTTTCACCCATTTTTCTCACTTCTCACATTGTTAAACACATAATTGAACCTGTGAAAATTCATTATTTAGCACAAGTACTTTATATTGGATTGCACAAGGTTACTTTGAAAAGTTCGTATATTTTTTTTTCATAGTTTAGTCATGAAATTACCATGATTTATTAATTATGTATGCATGTTTATTTTACTCAAATTGCACCCTTCTTTATGAATCATTGAAAATTGAGACATAATAATATATGACATCTATTGGTCAATTTTTCAGGTAGCGCTTTTTTTTTTTTTTTTGGTGCTTCTTTTTCTTTTTCTTTGTTTTTTTTTGGAAAGCATATAATTGTACCGAGCACATATTATTAACCAATAGAGTTTGTAGTCTTTTACCCTCTTGATTTTTCCTTTGCACTTTTATAAATAGTGTGTCTATTGACACCCGTCAATCCCATTCTACTTTTCACACTCTTTTTTTTTAATGACGTTTCTCATTATTGAATCACCCATTAATAAAAATATTTTTAAGGACAAAAGTATTATATATATATATATATATATATATATATACTTACACATCTCACTTATATAATTCTTATTTGTTAATATTTGACAAAAATAATTATTATGATCTTGACTTTTTGAATCATAATTTTTATAATCTTATATTATAAGGCACTACTAGAATTAGGCATATTAAGTATCAGAACTTTAGTGACGAAAAAAATCGCACCAAAAAAGCTAAATAGCGGCATATATTTTCACCCCTAAACACAGTCAAAGGTGATTAACACTATCTGAAGAAAGTCTATACCTCTTTATTTGATGTGGCAAAAAAATTCGCCCCTGAAACCAGTAACTACAGTCGCGTCCCTTATTTCACGTGACGAGAAGGAGGGAATTAACAGATTTAGAAAACCTTTTGTTCTGACCATTTTTTTCGCCTCTACATTGCATTTTCTGTTTGTTTTTTCAAAAATATTTAAAATACATGCGTTTATTTCAAGAGAAAATTAAAAATATATAGCGACAAAAATATTATACGTTACATGTGCAATTTTTATTTCACTTTTTCCAAATAACGTTTGAAATACGTGCGTTTATTGTGGTAACAATTAATTTCTGTACAGGCAAATATTTTCTCCGTTATAGTCTTTTTTTTAAAAAATTTTTTCTATCAGAATTCGATATTCAGAGATTAAAAAGCAAAAAAATGAATAAAACCATGTAGCGGCGATAAATTGTGCTGCTATAGGCTACTCGAAGGGCAAAACTTGCCTGAGCTTCTTCTTCTATATTTTTCCAAAAATTTCAAGCCCGTTTAGTTAGAGAATTTATTTTTTGATTCGAATTATGATTCATGATTTATTACAGTATTTTTTCTTATAAAAAATATACGTAAATAAAAAATAATTCTAATCTCATTATTTTAATTCCTGTTTTCTTTCTAGATTAGAACCCGACCCTGTTTCCCCATTTTCTAGACTAGAACCCGACCCTGTTTCCCCATTTTCTTGAGATCTAAGCCCTAATATTGATTAAACACTCTCAAAACCTCCAAATGTTCATCTATTTCTCATTCTTCCACAATCTTTTTTGTTCCCTTCCTCTTTTCATCATCCCGAAGCTTCGTCGGAGTGTCGCCGGAACCGTCGCCGAGCCGCCGGAGTCAGTCGCCGTCCCTCTGCATTGCTTCCTTCCTTGCTACCATTTCTAAGTAAGTTTTATGTTTATGAATCTTGAAACCTTGAAACTTAGTTGTAGTTTTTTAAATTATGGTGTGTTTTTTATTTGGGATTTCGGTTGTGTAATTTGTGATATTGTTTAATTTTGTGATTTTTTTAGTTGATTATGTTAGTGAATGTGAATTGGAATTGATGATAAAGTTATGAGAGTTGATTGGATTAGTTTAATTGGAAATGTTCCAAAAAGAAGAAAAAAAAATCGAATGATTTAATATGCTTCTTTTATTGTTGTGAATTTAGTTTTGCACTCTCACTCTAGTAGGATGTTTGTATTTAGATATGTTTTTTCCAATAATTTTGAATTATTATCATTGGTTATGGAATGAACTTGTAACAATCGCTTTTAGTTATTGGTTAGTGTTATGATGTGGTTTTATTATATAGTGTGTATATGGTAAAAGTTAAAGCTTTTATGGGTGATTTGATAGATGATGAATATTGATTTGGAACTTGAGGAAGGAGCCTATGCTAGGAATATGGTGAATATTTGATAAATATGAGTTAGATTATGTAGTTGAGCAAGTTTGAATATGTTTGGATATGGATTTAGATATGGTAGTAATGTTGAGTTTTATGCTTGTTTTTGCTTCGATGTAATTTCATTTAATTATTGTTTTTGTGTTAATTAATATTGCTAACAAATAGGTGCCTTTGATAGTTTAGAATGTCATTTGACAAGAGTAGGACGTAATTGCGCAATCAGTTGTGTAATAAATATCGAACAAGGTGAAATCGTCTCTTGAAAGAGCTAAAAATACTTTAAGTACTTTTGAGAAGATTTAGATGTCCATGTCAGGATTGTTGTAATGGAAAATGGCAATTTTTCAAAGTAGTGGAGGCTCACTTATTAGATCGGGGTATGCAAGAAACATACAAGTTGGCGCCTTGGGTTTATCATGGCGAAGATTTCGACGAAGCTGTTGACGTAGGGGAAGATGATGATGAAGTGGGTAAAGGTGTTGAGATTGATGAAGTCGTTAATGATGTTGAGAATGATGATTGTCATGATTTGTTGCATGATATTGTTGAGAATGATGTGGAGGATGTCGATGATGTTGCTACTGAATTTCCTGGAGATAGAGCTAATGCTGAGAAGTTTGATTACCTTTTTGATGACATGAAACGACCATTGTATCCTGAGTGTGAAACCTTTTCGGTGTTGACATTCTTAGTGGGATTAATGCATGTGAAGGCTCTAAACAAATGACTAATAAGTCGTTTGATATGTTGCTTGATTTGCTTATCAAAGCAATGCCAAGAGGGACAGATGCTAGGTTCACATTACGAGGCTAGGTCATACTTGCGTGCACTTGGCTTGGGGTACGAGTCTATTCATGCATGCAAATATGATTGTGCTTTGTTTTGAAAAGAAAATGCGAACTTAGAAGCATGTCCAGTTTGTTGGACAAGTCGTTGGGTTAATAAGAAGACTAAAGGAAAAAAGATTCCTCACAAGGTCTTGCGGTATTTTGGGCTAAAGCCTTGTTTACAACAATTATTCTAGTCAACCCGTACCGCAAAAAATATGAAATGACATGATGTTGATCGTGATAAAACTAAAGGTGTTTTGCGACATCCAGTAGAAGCTGAGGCTTGGAAGAATTTTGACAGAATTTTTTGATTTTGCAAATGAGCTAAGAAATGTGAGATTGGCATTGGCATCCGATGGATTTAATCCTTTTGGTACTATGAGCAATGCCTATAGCATGTGGCCTGTAGTCTTGGTTCCACATAACTTGCTGCTTTGGAGATGCATGAAGGAGCACTACAACAAATATCGTTATCAATAGCTAACCAAAAACACTATTAAGCACTACCAATAGCGTTCTGTGGAGCGTTAAGACATCGGACGCTATTAAAAGTCCTACAAAAACGTAGCGTTCTAAGAGCGATATGAGAAATGCTATAGAATTAAGGTCTTATAGTGTTTTAGACATGTTATTTTCAGCCTCTTACAACTATTTTGCGTTGTTACGGTACAGATCAATAGCTTTTCTCCCTTGTTATGTTCATACTCCTGTAGCTTTTTAAGTCAATCACAATCTATTTTACCAATAGTAAAAGTAATACATATTAACGTCCTATCTACTTTTATCATATTAATATCCTTTTGAGTTCATTCAAATAGATGGCAATTCTGAGTAACATCTTACATCTAAATAGGAACATTCAAATTAAAACATAAAAACATTCAACGTATCAATTGTTTTCAGTATCCAACAAGTTGGCAATAAGATCATGTCTACAACATAAGTCACACAATTTGTCCAGAACCTTAACATTCAAAACAAGTAAAGAAAACAAAGGAATAGCTAGAGATATCAAAGTATCTAAAATGTCTAGCTAAATGAAATGGTGAAGTAAATCCTTCCATCTTGACAAAATGCTTCAATAAAAAAGTCATCTCCATTGTTTAACCTGTAAGAAAGTAGTCCACTATCAAAACAATGATCAAACTCAGCTAAATCTTCCACCATTTAACCTGTAAATAAAGCAAGAGCTAGTTACACCATTCACAACTACATAGCCACATCTACATATGTTTTGCAATGAGTTAGAGGAAACATGACTTTAATGGTGCACTAGGCAAAAATTTAATGTCAAACTTGTAAGACAGAGAGTATCTTACATGTATTGTTATGTAGATAGTTAGAGAAAGCATGAGTCTTCATTGCCTACATTTAAACCCGAAGAGAAAAAAACTTGCTATCACAATCATATAATGTTTTGCTTAAAACAAAAAAAAAAAAAAAATCATAGGCCACAACAAAGAACTCCCAAAAAAAAATACACAAAAAAAAAAAACAAAAACAAAAACAAAAACCCTTAAAAAATAACAATGAAGAACGGCTTGTGTTCAGTGTTTCATGGAACATCTTGTTTCCAGATTTGTGAGATCCAAAACTGTAGGCATCTCAAAACAATAAATGTTATAGGTATGTCAGTATGCCTGAATTGGATTATTTGGTTACATATGTTGGCAAGGGTCAGGGATGTTTGTTAGTAAAAAGATGCCATTAATGTAAAAGAAAAAGGATATAAATGAAAAATGCCTACTTATCTGAAGGCAAAGAATCCAGAGCTTGTTCTGCTATAAGTTGCTTCACAGTATCCAGAGCAGTTCTGACCTGCATTAAGAAAACTTATTGAGATAAAACCAGACAGAGAAACAAAACAAAAAAAAAAAAAGGTCTGTTTCATGCTAGAATCAATTCAATATTTTCATATTCATACAAGAGCACGTTCAGCTTGTCCCACAGTGTAACTTTTACTTGCATTATTGGTCCATGTACTAATTATGTGAGAGTTCTAATGTACAAATACTGATTGTAGTAACATGACAAAGCTCTGACATCAGGAAGAAAAATACAGGTTTACAAAACTTATAAAATTTTTGCAATGAAATAAAACATTATTCTTCTAAACAGTGAAAGAAGTCTATAGTTGAAACCTGAGTATTGGCACATAAGAAGACAGTGCAACCTTTCACGAATCAAGACAAATGAAAGAAAAACATTAACTCTGACCTTAGTTAAGTACAACAAAGACATGTTACGAATATCTCAAGTATTCAATGTGCAAAGGTTTACCCAATTCAGAAAACTAGACAACCTGACCTTCAGACAGTAACAACCTCTAGAGACCAAAAATTTTATTAGAGACCAAAAATCATATGAAAGACGACTCATTCTTTTTAGAATGCCTTTCAACCACCATTACTTTTCTCCTAGAGACCAAAAATTTTATTAGAGACCAAAAATCATATGAAAGACGACTCATTCTTTTTAGAATGCCTTTCAACCACCATTACTTTTCTCTTGAAACAGCCTTCTCTGCATCATTTCTATAAAAATAAAAGAGCTTATGAGGGAAATCCCTTACAGTCCTTTCGCGCCTATCATAAAACCGTTCAGCCATCGGACTACTTCAAGACCTCTTTGTTAGCGTCACCTAAAACAAAGGATCCAAGGGATCCTTTCCCTTGAGTTGTTTGAATTTCACTATCTTCCCCCCAATAGTTTACAGGGCATTCTTGTATCATTTTCGTTTCACAAAATTTTAAAAACAATCTTTAATAAATTAGGTTGACTAACTTAAGTAAAGTTAGTCTATAAATGATAGTTTAGGCCTAAAAAAGATCTACATACCTTAGCTCGAACCTAAAGAGCAGAGCACCATTAGATCAGATCAGATCCAGGGTTCGTTCATCCATTTGTAACTAAACAATGATTTCAAGTAGTGCTTCCAGCGCTATGCTTGCTTTGCTAAGGGTTTTCCAATCTGACTTTTGACTTCTTTCGAGTCTCAGACTGTATTTAAAATCAAAAATCAAATACCAAAACCAAAAACCGAAAAGGGGAAAAATATAAATGAACCTTCTCCTCCTAATCTAAATGGAGCAGGAAATTTGGGAATTTGGGGGGAATAATTCTTCGACTTAGGGTTTTTTTTTTTTTTCCTTGGCCAGCTAAATGGCTCTTCGACAGAGTGGGGAATCCAACATCGTATGGGAATTTGGGTAGCAAGCCGAGAAAAAAAAAGGGAGAATGGAGCGGGAATTTGGAGATTTGGGGAACCAATTTTCAATACCCGCCCAAAGAAATTCTAATGTTTATATATATAACTAACAGTTATCAAAAGTTAATCTGTTGTAGCGAATTTAAAATCTGATTTCCTTTCACGCACACTGTTCGCATAAATACAACAAAAGCTTATGTTTGGTACATGAATACTAAATTTTTTAACCTACAAATTGGAAGTTTTCTTGCGCAACGAACGAATTTCAAAGTAACAAACAAATCATCACAACAGAATTGATGCAACCAAGAGAATCGAAGCAAAAGTAGAGCAGAAAATTGAGATTCGACAAGAAACAAGCCGAACAAAATCAAGCCATACCTTGGTATCTTCTTTCAAAACCCAAACTTGTACAGAGAAACGAAGAGAAGAATGACCCAAACTTCAATAGATCAAAGACCCAAATTTTGAATGAGGGGAGTGTTGCACTTCACCAGATGCGCGATTAATTTGAGGAGAAAGAGGCCGAAACAATCAAAGCCATACCTTGGTTATAGTAACATCAAAACCCTAACTTTTACAGACAAACAAAGAGAACAATGACCCAAAGTTCAAAAACTCATGAAACTTAAATTTGAGGAGAAGTCCTTTGCTGCACGAACGAGGAGGTTTTACGTTGTGTGGAAAAAATTCTTCCTCAGGATCA